GCTACAATCAGGGGTGAAACTAAGCCTTTTTAGGGCTTTGGCCTAACTTGGGAGGGGGTTAGAACAGCGAATGACAAAATACTATTTTAGGAGGAGCAAAAGATCAAATCATCTTTCCATATAAATAAAATTTTGAATTTGAAGGAAACAATTATTTTAGAAAATTATTTGAGAATGTACAATAATAATAATAAGTAGAATAAGTAGATGCAGTCCATGCATATATTGTTTCACATGATTGAGACCAAACAAATGCCTCCATTTTTATTCTATTCTGCATGCTATGTTTCATGGAAGTTGCTATCACATACAACAATCTTAAGTATTTAGACATCATTGAAGTCACTATCACTACTCTTCATGATTTCCTATGCAAAAATAATAATTTTGCTTATAAATATCATGTTGTGCCAACAAATCTTGAAATAAAAATTAAAATCAAGCTACATCAATATATTTCATATTTATACTTATAAATAATGATTTTAAAATATTTAAAAGTTACTTATAATATTTTTATTTGTTAGTGAATTGTGAACTAATCATTTTCTTAACTTGAACACAACACAACGAGAATATTGTGAGCGTCATGACCTATCTTTGAAGTAGTTGATGAATCGTCGAGGCCGATAGTGGCAGGAGCCCCACATCGCTAACCTGCAGATCGACCACCACAGTAGGGGCAAACTTTGCAGCATCTTTTGACAACCCACCGTCCCGTCGCTTCTCAAACCTGACCAACTCATCCATAAATCTTTCTATGGAAGAGAGAGAGTCTTAAAGGCCCTCTCTACCTCTTGCGCCAAGGCGCCCTCACTTTTCTGCAGCAGCAGCTGAGGAAGGATCATGACAATCGCTCTTTACCACTCGCCTCAGCCAGAAGAACCTGTTGGCCCTCAACAGTCACACACACACCAGAATCTGAGGTCCCCTCAGTGATGCCTCTTTATCGACTTGCCCTCAACATTGTAAGATGAGTAGACCACCTTGACCATATCGTATTCGGGCCTCTCCCGCTTTTCCTTTGTCGCCACTTTCTTCATCTTTACAGAAGAGGGAATCTGAAAGCCCGCCTTCACCAGCCTTTAAGGATCCACAACTATCCGTTTCGTACCGCCAGTCATATCGCACCTCAACTGCAAAAAGAGAAACTAACGACAAATGATATAAGACACGGTTTGTGTGTATTTATAGAGCACATGGGACACGAAATCTAAACGAAAGTCAATTGCTCAATCACCAAAATAACGATTGTTTAATAATTGTTTGATAACAATTGCAAGTCGTGTTCAGTTTGTGCTAACAATTGTCTAATAATTTTCCAATCTTTATTGTAGTTGTCACTATCAAGCAGCAAAAAAACTCGGGGAACTAATATGAATACACAAAAAATATCGGCACAAACTTCAAAGAGAATGAACTACTAAGATTAAAAAGCTTCCCTTTGAGGTAAGCTATCAACCGATGATCCAAGAACGAGCATGGGAAGCAACGTCTCCAAACCTGAGATATGTTTAAGCTTTGGAGATGGTTCCCGGCTCGGTAGCGACAATATCGACCGAAAGTAAGGAGTAAATTATCCTGACAACGATTCTCGTCGGCATAAACATGGACAAGATCCACCCAAGATCTTGCGAGATTGGGAGAACCGATCGAGACGACGAACTTACCAGGCAGGCGAGACACAAGCCATGTAAAACTCGAGTCGAACGAACAACGATTCAATCTACGAAAAGACCGAACAATCACATTCGACCGATCAACCCTGCATCCATACCAAACAAGCATCTCACGACCGACTGCTCAGATCGACCAAACCAAAGACACCGAACGAATCGCTTGTCGCATTATTACATTCCAAATATGGTGTAAATTTACTGTTAATTGTTGTAGTAATTGTATTAAAGGTGATTTCCATAATCATCATGTAATTTCTATGATTGTGCAAATACGTCTCTATAAATAGCATGCGGAAAGAAGAAAAATAGACTCCTCTCCCGATTCCTTCAACAGTAAATTTCAGACCTATTTTATTCTATTTCTTCTCTCCTTTATCTTGATCTAACTCTCGTGATATGATTCACAAAAGAAAAATTAGGATCGAACAAAAATATAAAAATAATGATTATAATTATAAGTAAAAGAGTTTACAGCCATTTTAAAACATTTATATCGCCTCAGCCAGAAGAACCTGTTGGCCCTCAACACTCACACACACACCAGAATCTGAGGTCCCCTCGGTGATGCCTCTTTATCGACTTGCCCTCAGCATTGTAAGATGAGTAGACCACCTCGACCATATCGTATTCGGGCCTCTCCCGCTTTTCCTTTGTCGCCACTTTCTTCATCTTTACAGAAGAGGGAATCTGAAAGCCCGCCTTCACCAGCCTTTAAGGATCCACAACTATCCGTTTCGTACCGCCAGTCATATCGCACCTCAACTGCAAAAAGAGAAACTAACGACAAATGATATAAGACACGGTTTGTGTGTATTTATAGAGCACATGGGACACGAAATCTAAACGAAAGTCAATTGCTCAATCACCAAAATAACGATTGTTTAATAATTGTTTGATAACAATTGCAAGTCGTGTTCAGTTTGTGCTAACAATTGTCTAATAATTTTCCAATCTTTATTGTAGTTGTCACTATCAAGCAGCAAAAAAACTCGGGGAACTAATATGAATACACAAAAAATATCGGCACAAACTTCAAAGAGAATGAACTACTAAGATTAAAAAGCTTCCCTTTGAGGTAAGCTATCAACCGATGATCCAAGAACGAGCATGGGAAGCAACGTCTCCAAACCTGAGATTGAGATATGTTTAAGCTCTGGAGATGGTTCCCGGCTCGATAGCGACAATATCGACCGGAAGTAAGGAATAAATTATCCTGACAACGAGTCTCGTCAGCATAAACATGGACAAGATCCACCCAAGAACTTGCGAGATTGGGAGAACCAATCGAGACGACGAACTTACCAGGTAGGCGAGACACGAGCCATGTAAAACTCGAGTCGAACGAACCACGACTCAATCAACGAAAAGACCGACCAATCACGTTCGACCGATCAACCCTGCATCCATACCAAACAAGCATCTCATGACCGACTGCTCAGGTCGACCAAACCAAAGACACCGAACGAATCACTCGCACAATATTACATTCCAAATATGGTGTAAATCTACTGTCAATTGTTGTAGTAATTGTATTAAAGGTGATTTCCATAATTATCATGCCATTTCTATAATTGTACAAATACGTCTCTATAAATAGCGTGCGGAAAGAAGAGAAAATGGACTCCTCTCCTGATTCCTTCAACAATAAATTCCGGACTTATTCTATTCTCTCTCTTCTCTTTTTTATCCAGCTTCAACTCTCTGGATATGATTCACAAAAGAAAAATTAGAATCCAACAAAAATATAAAAATAATGATTATAATTATAACTAAAAGAGTTTACAGCCATTTTAAAACATTTATAT